TATGTGGGTTTCTGTTATAAGGAATGGTTGGTGTATTGTAACTTGAGTTGTTAATAAAAGGCCATGTTGGCCATTTACTCCAAAATTGGTGTTATGTCTTTTGTTAGTATAATTGGTTAAGGGGAAGGGGGTTGGTGCGGAACGGTAATGGTGGTAATGGGGAAGTGGACGAGCCTATCTCTGGTGCAATAGTCATGGGTCGCTCTCAGGAGCTCAGTGAATTCAATTGTGGTACTGTTGCCTGCAGACACTCATTATTGTACTGCTCTCCAGCCCTTTGTGAACAAACTGCCTCCTGCTACAGCCAAATATTTAAAATTTTGACTCATCGGTCTAGAGCACCTGCTGCCATTTTTCTGCGCCCCAATTCCTATGTTTTTGTGTATAGTTGAGTCGCCTAGCCTTCTTTCCACACCGAAGGCATGGCTTTTTGGATGCAATTCTTCCATGAATACCACTTCTGGCCAGACCTCTCCAGACAGTAGATGGGTGTACCTGGGTCCCACTCGTTTCCACTATTTCTGTGCCGATAGTACTGCTGGACATCTTTTGGTGTAAAAGGGAAGTAAGCGTGATGTGTTATTCATCTGCTGCATTAAGTTTCTCTGGCTGACCCTGCATCTACGTTCCTCATCGTTGCCCATTTCTTTGAGCTTCTTCAAAAGAGCTTGAACAGCACATCCCAGTCTGCTTTGAAATATTTGCCTGGGAGAGATCTTGCTGATGCAGTATAACCACCCTCTGTGCTCAGTCTTGCCATACTGTATGACCTTTGACATGAAATTGTCTTCCACAACTTCACCTTAGTAGCAGAGTTTGGCTGTTCCTCACCCAATTTTAAGTCTCCTTCACAGCTATTTCTGTTTCAATTAATGACTGTGTTTAACCCTACATATAAAAATTGATGATCATTAGCATCTGCTTGGTTTAACTGGTTACTCATACACCTGACTCTAATCATACAAAATCTCTGATTTTGTGCAAGTGTACAAAGTGTGCAAGTGTAAGAATCAATGCTGGTTTGAAGCCAAAGTAGTCACGCCGAATATTGATTTGAGTTATATTTTTCTTCTGTTCTCTAACTTTGCATTTTGTAAATTGGCAAAAATAAACAATTGAAAGCATACTTACTTTAAAGCATTTCTTTACATCTGCCTTGCACAGTACTTTATGTGTGTGTGTATATATATATATATACACAGTCTGATCCCCAGAAGACGTTGTTGTGACGAAACATGTTGGACGTGGCTTGTGTGTGACATCATCACGTAGCAACATTTGTCTGTGCTGTTGCCGGTCTTACTTCATTCTATATGTTGGAGCCTTCAGCCTCCCAGATTTCTATTTTTATGTAAGAAAATCTGTTTACCAGTACTTCAGTTTTGCTTATTTGTGGATGTGAACACTTTTTTTTATAAAAGAGAGAGTATTAAATATACTTCACTATGGAACTTTGCTTATTTCTTTATCCACTAGTGATATCGGCTGCTACTGAATATATTGGTCTGCTGTGGAAGAGTCATTTCTGTTTATGGTGTGCTGAGCGTATCATGACCATTTATAATCTGATGGTCCACCTGATCTGGTAAGGGGGCCCCTTCTTATCGTGGTAAAAGGTAGCGGCTCTCTCTTCAGTGCTGACACACTATATTGCACCAAGTGGTAGAAGTTATTTTCTCTCCTTCACTTAATGGATTGATGTATCTGTGGAAAGAGGAGTTCTATTGCAGGACACTGTAATTTTTTATTTATATTTTTTTCAGGATATTTCATCTAATGTATGAATACTTAATTGTAATTTGGCACTTTGTGAGAGTTTATTTCACATTGTTTGTGTATTATTATCACTTTATTAGCGCTGCTTTTTGTTATATATAGATATATATCTATATATCTATATATATATTGGCATGAATCCATTCCTGACATTCCACAATATACAAATATACAATATGCAATAATAAGTCCATAAGCTCCTGTAAGGTGACTTTGCCTAGGCTGATGATGCTATCAGTCCGTTACCTACAGTAGGAAGCATTTATTCAGTCTCTTCTCCCCCAGTGATCAGACTGCAACATTGTAAGTGTAGCACTACCCCCATAGGAGCTGCTGATTAGGATGGGTACTCTGTTCTTTGCCTTGATCTTTTCCAAAATAACCTCAGACCCTCCAACACACCAGGTTGAGTTTACAAATATACAATATAACAGGAAATCACTGAAGGCAATACTTAGTACCCAGTAGTAACCTTTTATCAAAGAAAACAGGCATCAAACCAGGTAGAAAAAGCAAATTTAATATACTGTCGCCTAATATGCTTGGTAACTAGGCAAGCATAAAATGGATTGACAATGGTAATAACACACAATTCAGCATACTAAGTGATTAACAGTAAGGACCAGGCATAAGATGACATTTGGCGTTCAGATCAGCAAACAGTAGCAAGGCCTCCTCATGTGCAACAATGGGCAGTAGTAAAGCTTAATCTACCAAGTACTGGAACTATACTGCCGGAGCACATTTATGGTGGTGATGCTAGTCTTAGACAAACTGGGCATACACTGTACAATAAAAAGGAGGATGGTAGCGGAATGGGCAGGGGAACAAAAGGGGCCTGCAAAATAATTATTATAGGAATAGCAGTCCTTTGAGTTGTTCTTCTGCCAGCTATAATTGGGGCCCTTTAAGAGTGTTGGTGCACTTAACGACAGTCCCAGTTAACCTGCATGCAGTATAGGTATAGTATAGTCCCAGCACAGGTGCAAGGTAGATCTGGTTCGGATGCAGAAAAGGTTCAGTATAATGCAGTATAGGGTTGGGATAGGTGTAGTCTAGGTTTGGAATAGGAGGGGTATAGGGTGCAGAATGTGTGCAGTATTGATTGGGTACATTTGGTGTCCTGCTCTGATTGGCTCAATCCCTGCTAGCAGTATCAATAATGGGCTGATAGCCCTCTCACCAGTACCTGGGATGTTGTGGTAACCTCTCTCTGTCTGACCCTCATTCTCTGCCAAAAAGTTTCCAGTGATCACTGGTGGGAAGTAGAGGGTTAGTGGACTTTCCTGTCTCCCTGCAGCAGTGGTGCAGGTGCTGTGATGTGGGAGGTGTTGCTCTGCCCCTGGGTGTCCTCATGCTCAGGTTTGGATCCCAACTGGTATGGTCTCCAGCTGGCAGGCAAATTTTCAGACAGAGGGGTTCTCTCTCTCTTACTCCTTCAGTGCCAAGAAGAACTTTTCTGGACAGTTGAAAAAAATCATCTCTCACTCCTCCTACTGCACAGTGCCTATTGGGATCTGTAGTGCAAGAAATCTGTTTGTCCTATCCTATGGCTTCTGTCTCAAACAACAACTTCCAGGAGTCTCAGCACTCTGAGTAAAAGTCTATGGGCTTGATTTCTCTCCCCCTGCTGGCTGGAGGAGGATGGTGCAACATAACATCATTATCTCAATAGAAGGAGAGAAGGATGGAGGGTAAGCTCTCCATCTCCATATCACTGTAGCCAAGCACCTGGCTGCTTAACTTTATAACAAGTCACAAGTTGATAGGCTGCAGTATCCAAAATTGACATGATTGTGTCCCTGGATGATGTCTGAACAAAGGTGGCTCCGTCATTCTGGGGAGAAAAGGCAGATAAAGACATTGTCAAGGGGAGTACTGTGGAATCTTGGTCTAAAAAATGTAAAGATTGTACTTTTTGTGTTTAAATCATGTGATTATTTAATTATTTATTTAAAAGGTAGATATTTAGGCAATTGAACATATTGTCAACAACTACTGAAATCTGGTTCTCTCTCTCTAGCTTTTAATTCTCTATACAGATGGGGGCAGTCAAAACTTGCTCGTTAAATATGCATGTTGTGTTGTCTGCCTAGGGGTATAGAGCAATCAATATGCCTTACTGTCCCTTTTTAAGTGTAAGGCTATGCACAATTTAGAACTCATTTAGACTTGTGGTTGGGGGGCACTAAAAACATGCAATTGAGGTGCATTTTTTAGCACCCCCCAACTTCCTCCCCTTAAACCACAGGGGCAGCACACTTAGTCTGGCTCGATTTTTGTTTTGGCAGCAGATGAGAAGTTGCTGGTGATGCTGCTGGAACAAGGTGCTGTATACTCTATGTAGCTGATGCTACTACAGTATGACATAGTGCTGACAGCGAACAAATGACGTACATGTGGGAATAAGCTGGCCAAAATTAACTATTCAAAGTTAAAGAAAAAATGGACTTTGGCTTTAATCGATGGTTAACATGGTATAAAATTCTACTATTGCCATGATAGGTTTACTTATTGCTGCCTAAAGCATCCAATAAAAATACTTATTGCTGCCTAAAGCAGCCAATAAAAATAAAAGTACTTTATATTTTACTGCTGCATTGCAGAAGTGAACGGTGGAAATGTACCCTACAGGCAGATGTACCCTACAATGGCTCTATACCAGTGGTGATCAACTCTCTTAATATGGAGGACCTCAAGTTTGGCCCTTGACATCACTAAAGGACCACACATACTGTAAAATTCAGTGATTATTCACTGTCAGAGACTGTGGACACATCAACAGGATATAGTCAAGGACTATGAGCATGATGTAGGAGTTGGTCAGAGACTGTAGACATAATACAAGAGATGGTCAGAGAAAGTGGACATGATACAGGAGATGATCACAGACTGTGTACATTATACAGGAGATGATCAGAGACTGTGGAGATGATATAGGAGATGGTCAGAGACTGCAGACATGATACTGTATAAGAGATGGTCAGAGACTGTAGATATAATACGGCAGATTGGTCAGAGACTGCAGACATGATACAAAAGATGGTCAGAGAAAGCAGGCTTGATAGTGATTGTCAGAGAATCTGGACATGATACAGAGGTGGTCAGAGACCGTAGACATGATACAGGAGATGGTCAGAGACTGCAGACATGATACGAGAGATGGTCAAAGACTGTGTACATTATACAAGAGATGTTCAGAGACTGTAGACATGATAGAAGAGATGGTCAGAGACTGCAGGCATGATACAAGAGACGGTCACAGACTGTAGACATTATACAGGAGATGGTCAGAGACTGCAGACATGATACAAGAGATGGTCGGAGACTGTAAACATGATACAAGAGATGGTCAGAGAATGCAGACATGATACAGCTGCTGGTTAGAGACTGTGAAAATAATACAGAAGATGGTCAAAGACTGCAGACATGATACTGTATAAGAGATGGTCAGAGACTGCAGACATGATACAAAAGATGGTCAGAGAAAGCAGGCTTGATAAAGGAGATGGTCACAGACTGTGGACATTATACAGGCGGTGGTCAGAGACTGTGGACATGATACAGGAGATGGTCAGAGACAGTGGGCATTATACAGGAGTTGGTCAGAGACTGCGGACATGAAACAGGAGATGGTTAGAGACTGCAGACACGATACAAGAGATGGTCAGAGACTGCAGACATGATACAGGATATGGTCAGAGACTGAAGACATGAAACAGGAGATGGTCAGAGACTGTGGAAATGATACACGAGATGACCAGAGACTGCAGACATGATACAAGAGATGGTCAGAGGATGCAGGCATGATACAGGAGATGGTCAAAGACTACATACATGATACAGGAGATGGTCAGAGAATGCAGACATGATACAGGAGATGGTCACAAACTGTGGACATGATACAAGAGACAAGCAGAGACTGCATATGTGATACAGGAGATGGTCAGAGACTGCAGACATGTTACAAGAGATGATCAGAGACTGCAGGTATAATACAAGAGATGGTCAGAGACTGCAGACATGATACAAGAGATGGTCAGAGACTGTGTACATGGTACAAGAGTTGGTCAGGTACATTAAAAATTAAACAGATGTTCAGAGACTGAACATGCTAGAGGAGTGGGACATGCTTCAGGAGACAGACATAAACTGGAGACACATTAAATGAGACTGCTAGAAAGCACTGCAATAACAGGGCTATAGGAGAAACACTGATTAGTGTCTGCAGGAGCACCGGGGCCTGCACACAAAGTGTCAAGGAGCCTCATGCAGTGACTGGGCCGCAGGTTGGGCACCAGGGCTCTAAAACCATAGATAAAATACTACCATGTAAAATATCACACAACTTGCATGTAAAATAAATAGACAATGCTTTCCCTTTTAAAAGGCCAGTAAACTGTAAAAAGCATTGTCACATCTGCTCAGTTTCAACTTTTTCTCTTTTCAGACTTTTCCAGACAATTTTCTTAAGTCTAGGTGACCTAAATAAGTATCTCATACAAATTATATGAAGGTAACAAAAGTTTGCTGAATGTGCTGGGTGCAGGCACATTAAATGTGATGGTTTGGTGGTAGAGCGCCCTGCCATGTCTCATTACTGTCTGCCGGTCATACAGAGCTCCTGACAATCCTCCATTGCTGAGCTCTGTAGAGCGCTGAGCCGATGTGATAGTCTAAGTCCACAAGACAGATGTGCCAATAAAGCTACAGCTAAGGCAATTTACACTGAGAAATGTGATGGCGGCGTGGGACAGACTCGCGGTGCCGCTAATGGAGGCAGATGACAAGGTGCTTTGAAGGGCTTTGTCCTATCAATATTCCATTAGCATGTTTGTACAGCGACACGGCATATGTGTTTTCACTTCCTCTTTCTTTCCGCTAGACCCTTTGTCAGGTTTTTAGTGCTGCTTGGGGAGATTTCCTTTCATTTCCTGCTCCAATGTCTACAGTATAATGAATTAGAAGAACTCTATCCAGTGATGCAGAACCATGACAAAGGGTGGGCAGGAGGGGCGGCTGCCCTGGACACTCTGTTATCATGTGAGGTGTGGGGGGGGGAGGGGGTGCTGAGAGGAGATTTGGTGGAGGGGATTTGTGTTGGGAAGGGGAATTTGGGGGATGGCAAGGGGTAAGAATTAATAAATCAATACTCTATAACTTCCCACAGAAAAGTCAAACTTCCACCCTTGAAAGTCTAAACAACATAAACCTTTTCACAAACCTATAACTACCCTCTCCCACAATCTTATACTACTCATATAATGTCCAAACCATAGTCCATAGTCCAAAGTCAAAAATTAAAAATAAAAATAAACAACAATATTCCAAATGTGTCCAAAATCTTCCCGTTCAATCCAAAAGACCCTCAAAAAAAAAAAGTAGAATATAGTGCATTATCCTAGATACAAAATTACTACAAGTGATACTATGCAATCACACTCGTGATATAAATCATGTATATAAAAATGAAAGTGGATACACCATAACACTAGTGGTCCAGTGAGACAACACTGCAACCGTGAAAATATCACAAAAACACACAACGTAATCCGTGAGATAATGATCCGTGACAGTAGTGCCAAATACAGTGCCACACTCTGTTAGGGGATAGAATGCAATTACCCTCTTGCTGTAAATCCAAGCATTTAGGATTCCTTTATGCCACAAGATAACATTCCTAGGAGGTGCGTCTTTCTCTCATTCATAAACAATGGGATCCCTTTTCCATATAGCCACAGGTCATAGGTACCGGGGTCCCCGTTCCTCACCGGAAAATAGGAACAGACTCAGTGGAGTAAAAGGTAATTCACACTTTATTTAAACACTTACATCTTAGAATATACCGTCCATCTTCGCTCTAGTCCGTTCACTGTTTGTGAGTAATTCAAAAATGGCCGCCCTGCTCCTTCCGGCTCAACGTCCGACGTCACGACTCTGACGCGTTTCGTCACTTCCAACTTGTGAAAAAGTCGGAAGTGACGAAGCGCGTCAGGGTCGTGACGTCGGACGTTGAGCCGGAAGGAGCAGGGCGGCCATTTTTGAATTACTCACAAACAGTGAACGGACTAGAGCGAGGATGGACGGTATATTCTAAGATGTAAGTGTTTAAATAAAGTGTGAATTACCTTTTACTCCACTGAGTCTGCTCCTATTTTCCGGTGAGGAACGGGGACCCCGGTACCTATGACCTGTGGCTATATAGAAAAGGAATCCCATTGTTTATGAATGAGAGAAAGACGCACCTCCTAGGAATGTTATCTTGTGGCATAAAGGAATCCTAAATGCTTGGATTTACAGCAAGAGGGTAATTGCATTCTATCCCCTAACAGAGTGTGGCACTGTATTTGGCACTACAGAAATGCCCGTAGCAAATAGGGAAGAATGGAAATAGCGCAGGGCATACATGACTAGGCCCAGAGTGGTGTAGGGAACGGAAAGGGTTAAATTTAGCTCCAGGGGGTGGAGATTGATTGGGGAATTATAGCATTGGCCAGATGTGGAGTGTAGGTGGGGTTTGTGGTACCTTAGGGTGGGGGGTTCTGCGGAAGGGGCGTCAGTGGAGCTGGACGTAGCAAGGAACAGAGCTTCCCTCCCTCCCCTCCCTGTTTGGTTGGGTATAGGGTCTCGTCCGGAGGCAGGTGAGAATACAAAAAAAAAAAAAAAATAATGGCAACCGGGTTGGAAAGGGGGGTTTTTCCCGTTGGTTCGTGGGCGGTTGTTGGTCTTTGGAGGCGGTTCTCATCTTGGAAGGTAAAACAATGGTGTGGGACCCCATCCGTGGTATGGGGGGCCCGGTGGATATTCCCAGTTAACCAAGGTTTAACTGGAAGGTGGTGGTGCTGCACTGCGGACGGTATGGTTGTCTCCGAGCTGGTTGGTTGCGGCTGGAGGCCTAGTGTATAGGGTTGTCCGCAGGTGCATTTTGGATCGTTTGTGGGTGCCTTTGAAGACCAACAACAATTCTTTGGTTTCTGTTAAGGAACGGTTGATGTATGTTAAAAATGTGAAGTTGTTAATAAAAGGCCATGTTGGCCATTTACTCCAAAATGGTGTCATGTTTTTTGTAAAGTTTAGTCGGTGAAGGGGGTGTGGAGTGGTATGGTTAAGTAAAGGTGGAAGTCGGAGTGGACAAGCCTATCTATGGTGCATTAGTCATGTCACGGATCATTATCTCACGGATCACGTTGTGTGTTTTTGTGATATTTTCACGGTTGCAGTGTTGTCTCACTGGACCACTAGTGTTATGGTGTATCCACTTTAATTTTTATATACATGATTTATATCACGAGTGTGATTGCATGGTATCACTTGTAGTAATTTTGTATCTAGGATAATGCACTATATTCTACTTTTGTTTTTTTGAGGGTCTTTTGGATTGAACGGGAAGATTTTGGACACATTTGGAATATTGTTGTTTATTTTTATTTTTAATTTTTGACTTTGGACTATGGACTATGGTTTGGACATTATATGAGTAGTATAAGATTGTGGGAGAGGGTAGTTATAGGTTTGTGATAAGGGGTACGAATTGTTCTAGAAGGGAACATATGGGAGGGGATGCTAGGAGTGGTGATTTGGGTGGATTTGTGCTGGGAGGGGACATGAAGGAAGATGACTTGTGCTAGTAGGAGGATTTGGGAGGTTTGTGCTAGAAGGGGTCATATGGTAGAGGAGGGAGAGGGGGATTTGTTCTAGTTGGTATGATTGGAGGGGATTTGTGCTAGGAGGGGAATTTGAGGGGGATGACTTCTGCTACGCAGGGGGATTGGGGGGGGTTGTGCTGTCAGGGGGACTTTGAAGTGGGTGGGGGGGATTTGTGCTCAAAGGGGAAATTTGAGGGTACAGGACTGTGAGGAGTGGAAATTTATGCTTAGGGGCTGAGCAGATTACTGCTCAATTTTTTTTGTTGGGTAGGAATATTTTGCTGACACACAATGCTCATACATCTTGTGGGGCGCAGTTTGGAATGTTTTCCCTGGGTGATGTCATAGGCAGCAGTAAAAAAAAACTGGGCAACATTAGCAAGCTTCTCATTGGGCAACTAGGCAGGCCTTCTGCCCCTTTCCACATGACACAGTCTTACTCTCCATTGCTTGTAATATTGGAGAGGCTTCATTGGGTACCTCAATGTTTCTATGGCTATATGTATCCCCATTGGACAGACTTCTCCTCACTTCCTGTCTTGGTGACTACCATATCTTCAAAAGGAAATGAAGAATTCTGCGTAATAGAGAGAGCAAAGCAAAAAAACCTATCAAGCTAATGGAGACTTTTTTTAAGGTTGAGTGAACTAGAGCCCCATGGTGGAAGGAATTATAAAGAAGATCTACCAATATAATTGTGATAATTCTGTCCCCTATGTGCATGTAGCCCTTTGTCCCATGCTGCTCAGTGCTTTCTAACCATAGTTATGAGCTCCAACCGTCCCCCATCCTCTTCCCCCACATATCAGGGTTTGCATTCCTCTTGCCACTGTTGTATATTGTGCTTCCACAGTAGCCTGATTTTTTTGTCTTGTTTTTGTACTTGGTGTGTTCCCCCCCCCCCCCCCGTTCTTACTCTAGTTAGTATAGTCCCAAGCTCTACATTTCCTCCTTCCTTATGTGGGTTTCATTTCCCACTGCAGGGACAGGACTTAGAAAAGTCATTGTCTTCTATGGCCTCAAGCTCTTTTGGACACGTTTCTCCTGCCAGGAGTAAAGCAGCATTAAAAAAGCCATGTTTTTCAAATGTGTTTAGACGTGTTCAGACACATTCAGGCTCATCAGGCATTTGGGCAATCGTTAATTTAATCAGCCAGAAGATTA